GGATCATCATCACACACACACCCCGGTCTGCCCCTCTACACAGCTGTCAACCCCGCGCGCTCGGTGCAGGGACAAGTGTGCGCGCACGCACAGCCCCCTCACCTCTGACCAAGGGGTGGTGTACCACTTGAAGCAGGGCCGCTCAAAGCAGGTGGCCTCCTCGGCCGGCTTCTGGGCGGCAGCGTCGCATTCCGCCGGGGTCCGGGTTTTGACTTTCCCACCGAGGATCTCCAGGCAAAGCACCACCCGCTTCTTCACCCCTCGTCCACATGTGGTGTTACACTGCAGAGGGTGACGAGGAAGACGTGGCTGGCCCGGGGCTGGAGACGGTCCTTTCCCCCCCCTCCCCCTCCCCACCAGCCCCTCCCAGGCCAAGCCCCCCCCCCTTACCCGCTCCCAGTCCTGGGCCAGCCAGTGGGCTGGGCAGCTCTTGTCTCCACAGGGGTGGATGGCCAGCGGCTTGGTCTCCAAGTTGCACTGGGATTCTGGGACCACGCGCCCGTCACTGGTCTTGCAGTACACGTGGCGGATTGTCCGTCCCTGCCCGCAGCCTCCGCTGCACTGGAAGAGAAGCCGAGCATGAGGGATGCACAGAGAGCCCCAAGGACAGAGGCAGGCAGACGCACACAAACAGAGGCAGAGTGTGTGTGTGTGTGTGTGTGTGTGTCTGTGTCTCTCTATGTGTGTGGGGGGGGTGGGGGTGTTCAAAGGCATTGACTAGAGCATCACACCTGCCCATCGGGAGAGCCAGTCCCTTGGCTTATTAGGCACCCTATGACCTCAAGCCCACCAGGGTCCACCCCGTTTCCCTTGCCTTGACCCCCCAGCCAGCCAACCCGCCCGGTCACTTGAGAAGCCTGCCACTGTCTTCTCAGCCACCTCCGGAAGGACCGATCATATCCTCTCTGATCCCAAGAATGCCAGTAGCGGAAGGAGGGTAGGGGTTTGGAGCGGATGCCATGTGGGGGCACTTCTCTATCCAGCCATCTCGCGACATCCTTTATCCCTTCGGTTTTTGATTCTGTCACAATCAGAGCTTATCTGTCACTCTGTGAAGGTGATGGTTTGGGCTTCTTTTCCGCCTGAAGACCAACATCACTTCCTTCCTAATAATGCCTTCTCTTTTGCACATGGGGGGGGGGGATGTCCAATGGCAAAATGCAAGTTCCTCACAGTGGCCTCTGTCGCCATGGAGATCACGTATTTTTAGCCATTGCTGCTGGATTGAAAATCGGAGTGAAAAACAACCCAGAGAGACGAGCCACGTGACAGGCAGGCAAACTCAGTCAGGCTCTTTCCTTTGCAAAAGGCAAGGCAGAGGCCAGATGGGTTTTGCCAGCTTGCCTGAGGCCGCCAGGTTGCAGGTGGGCCCTTCTGGAGCTGACCAGCTGGCCCCTGAGTCAGAGGGTGCGGCATCAGGCCAGCACGCAGCCCGGTGGAGCACAGCCACACACCCCCATGCAAAGGGGGCTGAAAGAAGGCACGGGTGTCCACCGGGCTGGTTCGTGGCTGCCTTAAGAGTTGCAGGGGGAAAGTCCTCACAAGAGTGTCAGCTTCCTAAACACTTCTCCCCCACCGTGCCATAGGAGAAAGAAAAAGGAAGATTTTTTTCCATTCCTCTTTGGAAGGCCCCTTTCCTGAGAGAGAGAAGACAAGGAGGAGCAAGAGCTGGGGTGCCTCTCTCTGCCAGCTCTCCTGCCCCACTAAAGTTCATGCCACAGAGGAAGCGGGAGCGTGGGGGGGGCTGCTGAGCAGGCCTGCATGGCTGGCATCTAGGCTTCTGTTCATGGTGGTGGAACTTTGTGGGGGGGCACTGTTACTGGAAGCCAGAGAGGGCCTGCCAAGCGGAGGGCTCCCGCAGATGGTGAGCAGCAGCAATTTAATCCCCCTACGGTCAGGAGGAGCCCTGCCAGGTTGGCTTGTCTGAAAGCTTTCAGATGGGAAAAACAGACACCCGCAGGCACAGGGGAGGAAGGCAGCCTAGCCGACCCGACCCCGGAGTCGTCCTCACTTCCCCCTGCTCAGCATCAGCGGGAGCCCTGCTGTGTTGGCTCTTGGGAGGCCCATTGTGGTCTCCGAGGGGAATGAAGCGGAAGCTAGGGGTGAGGGGGGTTGCTTCCAGAACACACACCCACACACACACACACTCCTTCAAGGAAGAGCAGAAAATACATTTTGGAACATCGCTTTTGAGTTGCGCAGCCAAGATTTCGGACAATATGCAATACGACATCAAAACAGAATGACTTGGGCTTGGTTGTCTCACCACTTCCTCACAGGCAGCCCGTAGATATTTCTTTTTCATTTTTTAATCAGATGAATGAATTGGTGAAGTTAGTGAAGGAAGAGCTCAAACACGGCAGTCCTGACGAACGGAGGGACCCGGGACCATTTCTGGACGGCCTCTGGGAAGGTCAGCCGCCCCTGATCATGCCCCAGCCCCTCCCTCTGAGCAGGGGCCCCTCTCCACCCCCCTGAGGGGACTCACCGGGCCCCAGTCCGAGATGGTCCACTGCCTGTCGCAAGGGGGTCCGGTGCAGTTCTTCTCAGCCGGAGGGCGGGTGCTGGGATCACAAAGCCTCTCTTCCTCCGAGCACCGGATGTCTCGGCTCACCAGGCTCCGCTCGCCACACTTGGCAGTGCACTGCGGAGGGCGGTGGGGGGGGAGACAGAGGAGAGAAAAGTGTGGGTGGAGGAGCAGACGGTGGCGGTGGCGGCGGCATCGCTCACTGAGCCCAGGCACATCCTCTGGGAAACTGAAGCCACCGTGTTTCACCTTAACCAGCCTAGCACATTCCCTCTGTCGTTTCCACGAGAATCGAATGCCTTTGGCTTCTCTGGCATCTCCTGCTCCTCTGATTCATCTGGTGGTCTCTCTCTCTCTCTCTCTCTCTCTCTCTCTCTCTCTCTCTCTCTCTCTCTGTATGTGTGTGTGTGTGTGTGTGTGTGTTGTTGGACCATCTCACTGGCATAAATGGAGGGGGGGGGACAGTTCCAAGAGGAACCAGACGCCCTTCCGGCTCCTGGATGGGACGGATGCCGCTGGCTGCCCTGCCTGGACACCAACCGGCATGTCTTCCCAGCCACAGATACGCCCTTCTGCTTCCAGATGCTGCCTTCTGGGCCAGGAAAAAGCTCTCTCAGCAGGGAGCAGACCAGACAAGGGGGCTCACCTTACAGAAGACTTCCGGCCTGCCTGCCGGCCTGCCTGCCAGTCCTCTTCCCCACCTACAGCAGGGGGATGAAGCTGCTTCATGGGGCAATAAGGGTTTCAAGACAGAACTGCACCCAGTTCACCTCTGGAAGAGGGTAAAATGCAGTTCCGGAAAGCTGCTCTTCCAAAAGCAGCAGAGCCTCCCCTTACCTCCCAGTGATGAATCGCAAGAGAAAAGCAAGTTAATTTGCAAAATGTGGAGTGGCTGAACTCTCTCTAGAATGCAAAAACATTGTTTAATACTTCAGGGAGCCCCACTTCTAATGTCTTGCTCACTGTGTTGTCTCTTTGGCTCCCTGGCTAACAGCCAGTGCTGCAGAGGACGCCTTTGGGATCCTCACGCTTCCCCAAAGCCCTTTGACTTCTTCTTTGGGCACGTTCACCTGATTCTGGCTGCTCATTGGGCAAGGTCATTAGCACTTCTGCTAATCTCTGTCCACCAGGCCCGGAGGTGCAATCCGCCACATACATAGGAGGCGATCGGCTCTTGCCAAGCCTTCGTGCCTGAGGACATGCATGCAGGAACTGGGATGTTCCTTCTGGACAAGCTTAGAGGAAGCAGCGGCCGAGGAGAGCTCGGTCTAAAGTGCTCACGTCCCTCCAGGCCCAGTGGACTGCGGCGGAGACAGGCTGGGAACCGTTGACTTCTGTCCACCTACCTCTGACCACTCCGACATCTCCCACTGTGGTCCACACGCCGGGTTCTTGCACACCTTCCGTTCTTCCGGTCGCGTGATCTCGGCAGACTCGCACAGATCGCTGTAGACTGAGCTGTCGAATCCGGGCGAAATCATTTTCCAGCATCGGACAATGCGAAACTGGTAGCCTTCCCCACAGGTCCTGGAGCACTCGCTCCAACTACTGGCTTCCCACCTGCCAGAGACAAGCCTGCATCTCAGCTGGGGACCGGGCGGTGAGGGATCGGCAGAGCACACACACCCCTTCTCCAAAGTCAGGGCATTCTGCCACCTGGGGCCACGTTTGCTGCTCTCCTTTGGGGGCGGGGAACTATCCTCTCTCTCTCTCTCTCCCTCCTCAATATCTCCTTCTCACAGCACCAGCCTCAACATTATTCAACGTGAGGCTCCTCTGGCTTTGCTCAAACCACACCCCCTTTAGCCTTTTCCCTTTCACCTTCTCTAGAGCCTGGGCCATGATGATGGCATCATCCTTCCAGCCCCCAAAGATCTCTCCAGAGATTTCTCCAGAGACAATACCTGGGCTGGCATTCTCTTCCTGCACAGAATTCATGCACTGGCTCAGGTCGTGTCATTGCATCACAATACCCATCATCCACCTCGATCCCATCATAACGGATACACATGGCATATGTTGACGTTAGACCTACATCGACACAGACAGGCAGGCAATCAACCCATGATGGTTTTGATCCGTGGTCTCACCAGGGATTAAATATTCAGAATCACCAACCCGTGTACGTTCAGGAGAAGTTCCAGGAAGCTGCTTCTCCCTTTACCAAGCACTCAGGGGGCATTCCCTTTTGCCTCTCGTCCTCCCTCTTTCTCCTCTTCTGCTGCTCGTGGCCTCAGGGCTGGTTCCCTCCAGGCCTGTCCCTGGATATCAGGGTCAGCGGAGTTCCCTCCTCATCACTCACTCACTCACTCACTCACTCACTCACTCACTCACTCACTCACTCACTCACTCACTCACTCACTCACTCACTCACTCACTCACTCACTCACTCACCTGTGGTGCAGGTCGAGCTGCAGGGTTCGTGAGAGGAGAGCTTCCACCGGTACATGTCTGCAGGACTCATGTTCTGACCCTTCCGAAACAATTTCAGCCGGTTCCTTAAAAAAAAAGAAAGAAAGAACGAGCGCAAATGAAGCTGAGAGGTTTTATGAGAGCATCACAAGAAAGGAGGACATTGACAAGGCAGGAGGAAGGGGGAGGGGGACTGATTGGGTGAGAGGGGATTTTAATGATGTTGTGCGTTAGAGGGAAATCATTTGGGTGTGCAGTTCTTTGAATTTAAAATTTCGGCTTGTTTTGTGATAATAAAACATACCTGTCCTGATCCCCAAGCAGAAATCCCCAGCCCGGCTAGAGGCAGAGCTTCCACTGTCTAGAAATAGAGAGAATGGGATAAAAATACCCACAAAGAGAAAGTTCACACACACACACACACACACACACACACACACACACACACACACACACACACACACACACACACACACACACACACACACACACACACACACTGCAGCCTTTACATAGCCTTGCTCTCTGTGTGTGAAAACTGTCCCACGTCATGACGTGCAGCACCGTGGCGTGAATCCACCTCCTGTTTGCAAACCAACAGACCTTCTGTTCATCCCTGAGAAAATGGTGAGCTCGGTTCACTCAACGCAATGCTCAGGAGCGGCACCGATGGATGACCTGGTTGCCTCTCACGCTGCTGAGTGCGTGCCACAAGCAGCCGCCAGAGCAGCAACAGGAGACATTTCTCTCTTGCTAGGCATCCAATGACAAGGAGCCTTTCCAGAGCATTGGCAAAGGAGAGAACCCCGGACTGGCATTTGCCATCCTTTCCGAAGGCAGCTTGACCACGTGCCTCGCGCAGCCACCCTGCACCCCTGGAGGCAGGAGCCACCTTTGAGATGGAAGACGGAGACGGCTCTGGCCTAGAAGAGGAGATTTGTCCTCAGAGCCTTCGCCACCACCCCCCCCAAGGGAAGGCGGAAGGAAGGTGGGGCCAGAGGGCTGCGGAGGATCAGGGCCCTAGTGGAGCAGGAGCCAAGAGATCCAGAGTTCCACCACCGGCTTTGGCCAGTCCCGAAGGGGAAGGAAGAGGCAGACGACTCCTCCTCCTGGATTCCCATGGAAAGATGGGGAGCAAAGTGGCTTCTTTGAGAGGAAGAGCCCCCAGGGCAGACGCCCTGCCTGCAGGCGCCCAGCCGGAGGTGCTGGGGGGGTGGGTGGAGGTGGGTGCATGGGGTGCTCTGCCCCCCCCCACACACACGCATTTCTCTGCCACACTCTCTTCCCGGGTGGGTTTTTGTGCTTTCTTGTCCTGCTATCTTTATTTAGACTCCGGCCCGGAATCTTTTCCAAGGAGGGCTCATCAAAGGGTTCCTCTCTCTGAGAAGGGTCTGCCTTCTAAAGGGAGAAGGTGGCGGCAGCTCTTACTGCCAAGCTGCCCTGGCAGCCTTTTCGACTGCAGGGTTGGTGGGATGGGCTGGGGGTGGGGGTGGGGGAGGATCGCTTTCCATAGACAGAGAGGCAGGCAAGCAGGCGGGCAGGCAAGCAGGCAGGCAGAAAAGACAAGGTGGGTCATTTTCTTAGGGAAGAGGTTCAGGCCACGGATGCAGGTGAGGCCTCCGTCCTGGCTGGCCTGCAGCTGGTGCTACCCGAAAGGGCAACAGTCTGCAATACACCGACTGCCTTGTCCTGAGCCTGTATTTTATACCTTGTATATGTTTTTAGAGTGCATCTCGCAGAACGTGGAAACCTGGCTCAAGCAAATAAGTCAGCTAATCTTTCTTCCCATAGAGCTCAGACTTCAGGGGTAGTTCCAGCTCTTGTGGGGTAGAGAAACTTATTTCTCTGGTGATAAATCAATCAATAAAAGTAACGAGAGAGAGGACAGGGTGACTCTCAGGATGGCCCCTGCTCCCCACTCGGTGGCCTGGGTTCTTTCTCGGCTCAGCAGCCAGACAAGAGACCTCAGCGGAGTGGGACGTTCCTCCTTCGCGAGTCTCAGCAAGGCAGACGGGACCTCACGCCACCGGCGGTCATTCAAGACCTGCTGGAGGTGAAATAAGGTTGCCCCCCCCTTCCCGAGTGGCCCTGGCGTGGCCCCTTGCTCCTCCTAAAGGAACTGCTCTCCTCATGCTTGAAGCTGCTCCAACAGCCTCCTAGATCCCAAAGGGGGGGGGGCGGGGAGAGGATAAAACAGAGACAGTGACCTGGCCAGATGCACAGATGGGTTGAAAGGAGGATCTTTGGCCTGCCTAAAGTACCCAAGCAGGGCTTTTAACCAAAAAACCCCCCACTAAAAATAAAAAGCCAAAGAGGGAAGCGTCCCACTTTGGAACAGAGTGTTACATAGGTAAGCACAGTCATATGCCACCCACCCGCCCCCCACCCCAGTAATTTCTCAAAGCCTGAGTGAAGACCTCCAGGAGTGGGGATAAAATTCCGAAGAGTTTGTTCTGCTCCATCTGTCAGGAGCCATGGCAGTGAACGGGGTGGGGCGTCCCAGGATCCTGACCTCCCAAAGGCCAACTCAGCCCCCCCCCCCAGCTCTCAGTTCTGCATGCCCCCCTCCCAGATCTAGGATCACTGACACTGGGGAGGGGGGAGCCTTCGGGTTGGGAGTCACTGCCCTGGAGTGAGGGAAACATTCAACACTACATTCAGCAGAGCTCATCTTGGAAGCACGCAGAAGGGCGGTGCCATTTTAAAAGGGACAGAGAATGCCACAGGGAGAGCATTTCGAGGAATCGCCAGGGGATCCCTTGTCATCATTTCTGGACAGCAGAAGCTCTGGCTGGCGTCGCCCTTTTCTCTTTTCTTTAAGGAAAAGGATCCAGGTGTGGTTTCCATGGGAAAGCTTTCAAGAACACTACTCTCTCTCTCTGTTTGTGTGTGTGTGTGTGTGTGTACGTGCGTGTGTGCATGTGAGATGTTCTACTCTTTCACAGATATCTATCAGGGCCATTTGATTCTTGAGGCCTTGGTGTTTTCCTAAGCAACAAATGGCTTGTCTTAATTTTCGGGATTGCCCATCCAGTGTAACTTACCTCAGAGACTGCCCCCCCCAAAAAAAACCACACACACCGCAGAAGAGACTGGAAGGGCAAAGGGAAACCAGCTGGGCGCGCGCCCCCTCCCTTCCCAGCAACCTGGGCAAAGGCGGCCCCTCCCCCAGGCTCTTACCTGGCTTTGAGGGTCCTGTTCCCTTGAGGGAGGGTGGCATTGGGCCACGGTGCCTCCGAAGAGGTGTTGATGGTTTTATCGCTGCTCAGCTCCAGGAAGGTGCCGTTGATGGCATAGCCCACCATGTCATCATGGCTGTCCTCATAATCCACATACAGACTGTCGATGTGGGAGCCTACGGAATCGGTGGGGTTCCTTGTGAAAAATATACTGTTTGTGGTCTTGTTCCAACTGGATTCTTTTGGATCAGACATCTTGTCCAAAAATTTGTGGCTGATGGCATTCTCTGGAAATAATTCCTTGGACGCTAGCTGGGAGTCCCGTGCCCTGCCATTGCCCTCCGCCTTGTAACTGGACTTTGTTGTGTTTGAATCTGGAACGAGGGGCACAAATAGATCAAATCAAAGCAAGCCGGGGAGAGGGGGGAATGCAGAACTAAAAGCATTGCTCATGCGTCAGGTCGCCCTAAGTCGGAGGTGACTTGAGGGGCAGGCAAACTGCAACGAACCGTCTTTCCGGCTCCTCCTCACCTTTGAGCTGCTGGCCTTTCAGGGCTGCCTCGTAGTCCTCACTTTCCACTCTTTCATAGACTTCGTTGGTCTCCTGAATTTTGCTGAAGTCCAGATCTCTACTCACGTCTTCTTGCTGGCTCCCAAACATCTGGCCGTCTAGGTGGAGCTTTCCTTTGGAGCGTGTCCCAAAGAAACTCGCATTGTGCTGGACAAAGGCCAACGTCTCTTCGCCGTCAAGCTCTCTGCTTTCCTCGCTGTCTGATTCAGAGAAAGTATAGTAAATAGGCTGCATGTTTTTAAAATGCGGCTGCCTCAGGAGGGTGTACTCATACGTTATCGACGGGTTCTTTCCATTTTGGTTCCAAACCTGGAGTGAACAGAAAAATACCAAACATAGAACAAGTGGGCTTTGAGATTTTCTCAATGGTCCCCATTAGTAAGGCCAACCTGACTCACAATAGCCCTTTCTGCTTTTCAATTTCCCTTTAACCTCACTCCCTACAAGCCCAGCCCTCACCATCTTCTACACGTTCCTGACACTCTGGATAGCCCTTCATGGAGCTGGTAGTGAGGTAATCTAGCCATCCAGAGGACAGGCTACTGCCCATCAGTTCATCTTTAAATTGGTTGTTTTTGCTGCCATGGTCTGATCTTTCAGAAGCATTTTGGAGCACCTTGCCAACTAATATGATTACTAGACATCTATTATGGTACATATAGGATGACTAGCACAGAGACACCCAATGCAAACCACAACGGAGAGCCTCTAGCAACGCACCTGGTTTTTGCTCCTAGACGGACATTTCCGTGTTCTTGCCCTGAGCCTGCCAAGAGAGCCAGGTCAGGTCTGACACTTACCATGATGTTTATACCTTGGTCGGTGGGCCCTTGGGCTACGATATACTCAATGCCGGTCTCATAGATATCCATCGGCCTCCTGTATTTGAAAACTGTCCCTGCGATGTTGAAGTTTTTTGGGCTGTCTACTCTGAAGTTGCCGTTGAAAAAGTAAAAGCCAGCTTCATCTGCAACCGCTAGAGAAGTCCATAAAGAGAGACAAAGGTGGGTTCTCTAAAGTCACGGCCTGAGGGGTGTACAGAGAGATCGCTTTCAGACTCATCTAAACACTGAATTAGCCCTTCCCCCTCCCCCATCCTGTCATTAGTAAAACTAACTAATTTGCTTGAGTGACAGGAAACTGCTCAATACTTCAATTTCTGTGAGGGAAGGGAAACCTTAAGTTTGTGAAGTGACACCTCACACCAGGATCAAGGAACAAGAGAAGTAAGAGATCTTGGCAGGAAAAAGAAAAGAAAAGAATACAGGTGAGACCAACAGCCAGATTGTCGTTGAACCCCCAAAGGCCAGTGTAATCCTGATTGTTCACATGCCAGTTAGGAATAAGATAATTTAATAATTTCATTTTTTGTAAGAGAACAATTACAATCAAAACCACCATGTTCTGCTTGGTTGCAGCTACAGACATCATACACACCCAAAACATCAGCAGATTTCTTCCTTTCCACTATTTGGATATCTCTTGCTCCAGCAGGAATGTGGGTCACCAGAGAATAGCCTGAAGAAAACTGTATTAATGAATAAAAGGCAGAATTCTGCAACAGGAACAAAAAGCTGTAGCTTTCTAGCACTAAAAATGTGCCTAGTAATAACTCTTCAAATACGGAATATCCAGTCAGTTGATTGAATAATGAGTCTCTCTCTCTCTCTCTCTCTCTCTCTCTCTCTCTCTCTCTATCTATCTATCTATCTATCTATCTATCTATCTATCTATCTATCTATCTATCTATCTATCTATCTATCTATGCCACCTTAACACTAAAACACTAGGAGATAAACATGTAACAATTTTAAAACCACCATTACAGACAATTCTTAAAAACGTTTTAGAAATCTCTCCAATCAATACAGTATGAATAATGATTCACTCATTAGCCAGCCACTCCTGCAGCATTCCAAAAGACCTGACTTACTGCTGCTTAATCATTTGTTCTTTGAAGGGGACAGTTTGGAGAGGGAGGGCCTGGCTAATTTCCATCCAGAGGCAAAAGGGCCAACCACTTTTCGATCAAGGACTGCCAGGCCTTCAGGCTGGTCAGTGTGGGAGGCACACAGGAGTGCTTGATCACTGCCTCTGGGCTCACTGACCATCACCTGCCCTTTGCAGGGACAGACCAGCTTGGGAGGGGCTGCTCTGAGCTATATTCCGCACCGACACTCAGCCCGTGGCCTCCCTGCTGGTTGGTGGCCATGTCTTCCTCAGAGGTCAAGAACTGTGACTGTGCCAGAGAAGCATCCCGGCTGCCAGCCTTACCCAGATGGGGGTTCCCCTTTCGGTAGCTCCCGGTCACGTGGATGCAGCTGCTCCCGTTCCCTTGACAAACGCCACATTTGTCCAATGTGTGGGTGGAGAACAACACCCCGTCACATCCAACGGGCTAGAAACAGTTTAAATAGAGTGTTGAGGGCCAGGCAAGAGAGGCAGCTGCAGCAATTTCAAGAATTCGAGTGACAATAGGGTTGCTATAATGTTTAACAACCTCACATTTTCCAGACACGCAAACCCCTCGAAAATCCGCGTATTTACAGGATGTCCCATCCCGGGCTGGGACCATTAATTGTCTTTGACCATCTGTGGTGGTGCAGTGGAGGTCACAGGGCTTGCTGGAGATGTGGACGTAGTCATCTGGCAAGAGAGAAGGAGAAACAACATCAGACCCACCAGCCAGCCTTGTTCCTTGTGAAACAAGACCTGCAGAAGCACCTGCCATTGTCCAAAGAAATCCATGGTCAATGAGCCGGTGCAGAGAGAGCGTTGCTTCTGGTTCGTGAAGATCTCTCTCTCTCTCTCTCTCTCCCTCTGCTCTCCACTTTCCCCCCCTCCCACAATTACATGCAGAGGGTCCCTGTGAATATAGGCATTGGCATCCAGAGCATGGATGGAGAGACTCTGACTGCGCAGAAGAGCATCACAAGATGTAAGTTTCATTTCCCTCTTTGGAATGAGAGGAAATGGTTCACCATTGTTCCAGGTTGGCTTCCCAGACATGACACAGTCTGTGTGTAATCCTGTCCCTTTGGAAACAGTCAAAGCGCAAAAAGATGTGAAAAAACTGGCCAGAAAGTCAGATACTCGGCTGAATGGACAGAGGTTGGGGGTTTGATTCCTGGCTATGCCTCCTGGGAGAAGAACCGTCCTGTGTGGGTAAGCTGTTCTGGAGGCCCCCTCCCTCGCCCCTGAAGTTATCTCCTCTCAGTTATCTCCACCCTGGCTAAAGTAAAGCTTTATGCACATACTTACTTACTAAGTCAGTTTTAGACAAAGAATATACATCTACTTCTTGCGTTCCTTGTTCCTAAGAGCGGTTGTCTTTTCCTCAAACCAGTTGTTGGGCCTGCAGAGCGCTCTCTCTCTCTCTCTCTCTCTCTCTCTCTCTCTCTCTCTCTCTCTCTCTCTCTCTCTCTCTCTCTCTCTCTCTCTCTCTCTCTCTCTCTCTCTCTCTCTCTCTCTCCCCGAAGGAAAGAAAGGATGGATGGGCTAATCAGAGGAACCACCTTCTTCTTAGAGCAGAGGAAAGCTTTGTCTACTGCCAAAAAACAAAAAAACCAAAAAAAAACCCCAAACCCAAAAGACCGTCCTGTTGTCAAGACAGCCAAAAAAGGAAAGTGCTGTTCCTTACCAGGGTATAAAGGTTTCCACTGATATGTCCACCCGCTGTACACGTGGGAGTTGAAGGACGAGCACTGCTCTTCTCGGAAGCTCCGTCCATTTGGAGGACACGGCTGGAAAAGGAAGTGGGGGCAGCTGCTGGACGGGGCTTCCTGAGGCCGCCACCTTCTGCCCCCTCACCCACGGAGAGGCCGACAGGCCCGGACATGCCAGCCCACTGTGAGATGGCCATGCTACAAAAGCCTGTCTCACCTGTCCTTCAGTGGAGTGGCGTTGTGAGGCCATGCACAGCCAGTTCCCCAAGGTTTATGCGGATGACGACGACGACATTATCCTCCCCTCTCCCAATCCACCCTGAAAATCTGAGTGGCCCCCATGAGGCACACAGAAAGGTCAGCTGACAGAGGAAAGCACAGGGCCATCTGTCTGTCTGTCTGTCTGTCTGTCTGTCTGTCTGTCTGTCTGTCTGTCCCCCTAAGATTGAGGAGGAACCTGCCAGTCTTTAAAACCCCAACGGATGAAAGGTGGAATGTCACCCCTCAGCTGTGCCCATTCTTCCCAGTCCACATGGTAGAGGGAGGAGGAAGTGGGAGTGCCCATCTGCCCTTTCTTCTTCCTTCCCTCCCCCCCTCCCTCCGTCCTCTCCTTTCCATCTGCTGGGAGAGCGGGGCGCAGCTCTCATGGAAAAGGGCAGATTCAGAGAGAGGCAGCTTTGGTCACAAAGGGTGCCTTGGTCTCAGAAGTCCAGATTAGCAACATTCATTGTATGATTGGAAAGCGTGATGAAATGTGTAAGGTATGATGACAAAGGCAGAGGAAAAAAAACCCTCCCAGCATCTGATAGGTTCATTTTCTGTAACTGTCAAAGAGCAACACCAAAGACGTTTTTCATCTGGACTTGTGTTGATGATGTTTCTGTTGTTTATTTGTGTGCTGATTAAAAGCTCCCAAGCTGTAGTCTTTGGCGTAGAATTGACTTTAATGGGAAAGCATTGAAGTGCTAAATTCTGCCCCTCCCCTAGAACAAAATAAGCCATGACCTCAGGCGGGACAAGAAAGAGCACAACGTTGAACAGCAAAAGCACTGAACATTGCAGGGCAAGCCTGAATGTTGCCAGGATGATAGAGAGAAGACCCAAACAATCAGTGTTGAAGCTGGTACTTTTGCAAGAACAAATGCTCTACCCAGATAATGCCCTTAAGTAGACGAGTAGTCTACTGATGAAACGTTTGCCTGCCAAACAGCACCTTACTGAACAGCAAAATCACATCTCTCTCTCTCTCTCTCTTGCTCTCTCCCAATGAAAAGAAGAAAATAGTCTCTTACTTGTACTTTGCACAGCTGGTATCTTTTTGAAGTTCCAGTGCACGTTTTATTAAGAAAACCCATCACGGATTTATTTCTGAAGAGGGAAAGAAAGAGGGAGTCATTTGAGATGAGAAATGAAAAATGACCTCGCGAACCTGAACTCCTAGGAGGTGGCGCCCACGGCAGCCATTTCCTGCACTCGCCTTCTGTATACTTGCAACACCCAGAAGCCTCTTTCCAGAAAACGAACAGCCCTGAGTGGGCAGAGGGGTCCGGCAGGAAGGCCACAAGGCTCTTCTTCCTCCTCCTCCTCCTCCTCGGGGATGTCCTCTTCTGAGGTCCCTGGGTCTCCTGCCTTTACAGCAACATAGATCTTGCTGCAGTATTCAAAGACATCTTGGTGAGGCCACCGAAAATGTTCTAGTTATGTCTCCCTGGAGGGCACAAACCAAGCTCCCTTGCTACTCCCCGCAGGCCCGCGGGGACCTGTTTCAGGGACCGCCAGCCTCTGCAGCTGTCCTCCCTCTCTCCCACCACAAGGTTCCCCAGAAGTCCCCTTGCTGCCCCTGATTCCTACACAACCAGGAGTTCGGCCTTCCTGTTCTTTTTGTGGTCTGTCTCATGGGACTCAAATCCTGCGTTTCCTGTGGGTCAAGAGGAGCCCCGAGAAACCTGCCCCTTTTGGTGTCCCTGCCTGGGCCCCCCACTATGTCCGTGGCAGCCTCCACCACCACCACCACCACCACCACCCCTGGTAAGCAAAGCATGGGAGCGCCAACTCTGAACATTTCTCTCTCTCTCTCTCCTTGTGGAGTGACCAGGCTCACCTTAACCCAACCCGACTGCGCCACGGGGGCATTTCCTGAGCTTGGGGGGGGGGTGCCAGGGGCTTAGCAGGAGGTTACCTCTGCCGGAGGCAATGCCTTTCTTGGGATTTGACCCCTCCCCCGCAGGTCCGGGTGCAGGCTGTCCATTTGGTCCACTCGCCCCACCAGTAAGCGGTGAGGTCGGCTCCTTCTTCCAGGCTGTTGGAGGCTTGCCCGTCATCCTGGCCGCCATGCAGGGGGGAAAAGTCATATTGGTTGAACAGGTAGTGCGCACTGGGAATGGCGACACGTACAGGAGAACCCCTTTAGGGGCAGGGAGTCCAGGCTGAGGGTTTGGCACCCGCCTGCCCCTTGCTTCCCTCTCTGGACCCCCCAAAAAGGTCAGAGGATGAAAACACAAACCACCCAAAGCAGGCAACGTTTTTCACACCCTTGTGATTCATCTCATTTGGGATCTTTGACGAGTCAAAGTACAATTATTTTTTAAAAAAAGTTGAAGCTCCATTCTGAATTGGTTGCCTGAAGCCTTTCAAGGTTCTATTCCAGGAACATGGAAAGGCCTGCCCAATCCTAGAAACACTTTGCATGAGGCAACCGACGGAGGCCAGAGAGAGAGAGAGAGAGAGAGGGAGGGAGGGAGGGAGAGGGAGAGGGAGAGGGAAAGCATTGTGCCCATGAAATCCAATGGAGCTCTGTGTGTATGTACTTCCACATAAACACACTTCCTTGGCTTCAGAAACCAGACCAGACCCCGGTGTTGGTACGTGAGGAAGTACATTAAGGAAACATGTCCATGATGTGGCAGGCAACAGCCTGTCTTTCCAACCACCTCCATTTGCCCCAAAATAAAAACAAAAATCATCCCCTTTTTCCAGTCTGAAATGGCATTTCTTGGCAAAGGCTCTGATGCCTCCCTGGCAGAGTCTCCCAACAGACCAAGGGCCGCTTTCTTCCTACCCCCCCCCATCCTGCTGTCTTTCTTCCCAAAGAAGCCTGTTTGCAAAGCCTCCCCCCCCACCCCCGGTTCTTGGGCCCCATCCTCCACGACTCTAGTCCCCCGGGGGTGTGGGTGTGGGTGGGAATCTCTTAGGCTGCCCTTTAAAACCCTGGCAGGGGCGTGCATCCAGAGACCTGCCAACCTCTACACCCCTGAGGTTGCCAGGAAATTCCTGCTGGCCAGCCTTCAAGGCTTGGACTTGAGGGGACCCTTGGCCGGAAGGGCACAGGGAGCACCTGCTGCCCACATGAGGGGATGGACGCTCCTTGCTGGGGAGGCACGAAAGGCTGCCTTCCCAAAGAGCTCAGTGCTGTCCTTTCAGCACCACCATGCGGGAAACACACAAACACACACACACACACACACACACAGGCCACCACGTCCCCGTCTACAGGCTTCCTTCCTTCCGTCCCGCCCCAGGGCCAGCCCCTGCCCAGTTCCTGCCCTTGTAGGGCTGGGTCCCTCCTTTCCTTCCCCCCAAAGGCACACGTGCTCATCTATATCAGTGGCTCCCAACCTTTGGAGCTTATCTGGTTGATCTTGGACCACAGCTTCCACAACCCCAGGCAGCACAGTTAGGGGTGAAGGCTTCCGGGAATGTCAGTCCGGGTGACCCAAGGTTGGAAAACACAGGTCCATATGGTACAATACCTCCCAAATTTAAAGATGGTCCTGAATGTGGGGGTCTCCAACATGCGAGGAAGAACCTGCAGCTTCCTGGAGAACCGCCCTGCAGGGCTGAAGCTCTGGGACTTCCTGACCAGCTGTGAAAACACAAACACACACATACACACACACACACACTCACCTGTGAGGTGGCGAGGACCATATTCCCCACCAGCAGCACTGCTGCTAGAGTCCCTTTCAGGTGCGCTCCGTTGCTCCCCCAAGTGTGGCCCCATCTCCATTTCGTTCTCTTCATCCTAACGAAGCAAGGGGCCGAAAATCAGTTTTTCCACAGAGACCCGTCTTAGAGATTAGTGAGCAGGTAGAAGCTGTGGTACAGAAGTAGGAAGTTTTTAATTAGCCCCCCCGCCCCATCACACCCTGCCCATGTAGGTAGGCATCCTTCAGTCTCGAGAGACTATGGTATCGTGGTCTGTATGGAGGTCTTGGAACAGTGTCTTGTGTGGCTGAGAAGCCCATGACATCACGGCCTTTCACCAGGTGTGAATTAGGTAACATTTTATTGTTTTGAACCACCAGAAGCACTACTTGTAAAGGGTGTAAATTTCATAAACAAAAATGAAAAGATAAATATAAACAATGCACTTATTTTGTGTCCAGCAGGAAACAGACAAGGATGGCTTTTTGAGCTGCTCTCCCATCTTGATGACCTTTTGCCATGCCCTCACCCCCACTCTCCGGCAGCAGTGGATGCTTCTAGAGAGGGGCAGGGAGTCCTCTGTGGGGCCGAGGGTCATCTGCCCACACGCACCCCCTTCCCCTGGTTCTTCCTGCCTTCAAGAGGGCAGCCCTGTCCCACTAAACTCCAGCAGACTTCCAGGAATCTTTCTTCTCAGCCTCCTCTGTTCTGCAAAATGCAGCTGAAGGCTTCGCATCCCGAGCACATTCAGCCTGGAAGGGAAAAATCTGAGCTCCGTCCCCACCCTCTGCTCTTGGCTGCCTGGAGTGAGGATTTCCTGAAATTCTGCTCATCGCTGGCACTCACCAGCAAGAGCAGAGAGGCTGCCTTTCCAAACTGAAATGGATTATGATGATGATATTAATACTGTGCAGAGTCTCAGACAGCGTCTGGGTTGCTCTCTTCCAACTCTGCCGGCCAGGCTGAGCGTCTCTATGGTGCTACGCAGGATCTGGCAGGGTCGGGGTGGTTCATTCCATCTTAGTATTGTATTGTGCCCATAACGTTATAACTGACCACTAGATGGGATCATGCTTCATCAAAAGATGCTTCTTTTCCTGTTTGAAAAAAAGGATATTACCCACTTATCCATTTTTTTCAGCACCATGGAGGGGAGCCATTCAGACAGAGCAGCCGCCTGGACTCAGGCAGGGAGACGTTCTCCAGGCCAGCAGGCAGACAGGGAAGAAAGGCGATGCTCCTCCTAGGGAGCCCAAAGCCAGGTGAGGCCTTGCCATTTCCCCAGCAGGCCCAGCTGTGGGTGGGCATGCTTCCTCCTCCTCCTCCTCCTCCTCCTCCTCCCCCCCTTTTTCAGAGGATCACTGCCCCCCAGTCTGGACTGCTGGAGATAGCTCAGGGGTTTAGGTCTGTGGCTGCCAAGCCAGAGGCTGAGGGTTCGATTCCCCCACTGGGCCTCCTTGACAGGGGCTGGGCTGGATGATCTATAGTGTTCCTTCCAGGTCTGCAGTCTCTGCAGGATGATGATAATTAATGGGAGCAGCTCCAGATTCGCTGCTGCTCTCCCTTCTGGAGAGGGGGACGGATCCATGGGCAAGACCATCCGGCTGCCAGGGATACAACGGAAGAGCCTCTCGCCTGGAGGTGCAAGGAATCAAACCTGTGCCTCGGTGGATGCAGACGGTGGCACCGGGCAGATGACCCATGGAGCAGGACGGAGGCATGCTTTCCCTGCGCAGAGCTGTGCCCAGCCCCCCCCCAAAGTCTTGCGCCTCACTCTCTGGGCCAAATCAGGGCACAGGTGGCGTTTTCTCCCCCACCCACCAGCACCACCTTCTCCCCTTAGCCCGGACGAGGCAGATACAAATGATTCTGGCAGGTCTCCAAAACCCACAAAAGCAGACGCCG